AAGGGAAAGGAGAAAAGAAGAGCAAAAATGCTCAGAAAGAAAAAAGAATAAATAATAGTAACTCACGATTCATGACACAAACAACAGAAAAACAGTTAAAAGGTGAAGAAATGACATAGGACTGGGAAGATACCGGCGCTGATCTTAGGAGGCACAACACTAGTTTTTGTTTTGCAGATAAAGTTTTGATGAAGCAAGTGATGAATAATTTAAAACGACGTGTGCTCTTTATAAAAGCAGTGACACTGTCAGCAATAAGCATCATCGATTCCAGACTATAATGTGTTCTTAGTAGTAAAAGATCGAGGTTAAAGGCCCCGAAAGGTTTTAGTATATCTCGAAGCAAATTCCTTTGTTTAGCATATAATGCACAATGCAAGAAATAATGTGAAGGAGTTTCATCTTCACCACAGTCACAATTCTCTAGATCATCCAGAATGAGTAGATTTCGTTTCATTAGTACTGCTCTCAGCGGCGGAAAACTCACCCGAGAACGAGTATACGCTATTTCAACTCTTCTTGGGACAGTGGAACGAAGGTAGCGATTCTTATCGGGATTATTAAAAAGTAAGTCATTTTTTTTTTATCATATACTGCTATACTTTCGCTAGATTCGCGGCGTGACTCCCTAAGTCGCTATATGAGTCCCGCTTTCTATCCATTAAACTAGAGCGAATCGTCATTCTTGCTATAGGGATCCCTATGTCGCGACATGAATCCTACATTTATGAAAAATAATCAGTGCAACAGACTGTTCTCGCTACATGACTCCTATAATCAATATATGAGTCCTACTTTCGCGGAGCGAATTTTTTCATTCTCGCCATTTTACAGTGTTGTTTTCTTTCTTGCCTGGAGTATCATCCAGCCTTGTGATAAAGCTGCTTCGAGTATACCAGTTTTTCTTCTTTGCTACATGTTCATTCAACATTATTTACGATAAATCACAGTAAAATCACAAAACAGAAAGATAAGCATCAGAAAAAGAGTAATATCAGAGGTTTGCATTTCAGGGAGGAAATATACTTTATCAGCATCCAGTTTGACACTTAAGTGCACCATGTTTTACCGGCTTACTCTTCGGTACATGATGCACGTAACAAGTACACAGTTATTTCAGAACAGTATATCTGGTGGAAAGTGAAGAAGTCATTTCGCCTTGTCTATTGTTACAAAGTTGAACTAAATGGTTTTTTGAAGTATGGCTAAGTCAGAAAGTATTTTGGAAAATCAAATGCGAAAGTGAATGCTTCAAGATTATCATCAACGATTGATATAACTGTATTCACCTATATTTTTCAATTCTGGTTTGCCATGAGACTGGAATTAGATCTCAAAATATATGTGAGATAGATTGATATTGTATTGCTCGTCTATGGGTTTTACCGTAAGGAAACGTTTGCTGTATGTGATGAAACATCACGCGTGTACTTACAGAGGATGTATATCCGAGAAATACTAACGCTATGAACAGTACGTTGCTAGAGCCGAGAGCTAATCTAGCATCCTGTGAATGAGGTGTTCTGGAACTATGCCGCTATCCTCTATGCGTCAAACGAACTGATCTTCGCTACATCCTGTAAGTCACCAACAACAAAGCGATATTACATCGAGGAAACTCATAGAGACGATAATCAACCATTTGGTGCATTTCTCACTTTAGTGCATTTATTTTGAGATCTTTTAATACGGTCTACATGCTAATTGAACCTATATAGAATTTCTTAGATTTTGTGCATTTTCTGACAAAGGTAACCCAGTTTTTGACTTTCAAAACTGTTAGGAGAACAACGGCTCAATTTTGTAACAAATGTAGCAAAAACGAAAGGGCTTGTTTTTTTCTGTTTCCACACGCTGAAATTGCTGTGTACTTACCACAATTTTAGTTATATATTATTTAATATTTCAAACTTATATATTAAAATAAAAAATTTAAAAAAGCAGTGCATGGCTGCAATAGACTACACGATCAAGTGATCATAACACTGCGATAACAGAAAAGGAATGACTATTAAAAGGAAACATACATGTTCTGTATACAATAGATTAAAGATAAAAGAAGGGAACAACGTAACCATGAGCACAATACATACACGTGCCCTGCAGTTTCTTTTTCTCACTATGTGTGTGTTATATAAGTTCAGAAAGATAATATAAGGTATAACACAGAACAATCAAGACTCACAACGCGACGTCCTAAAACCCCTCTACTTAGATCGCAACTCAGCGATAAAAATCGCGACGCGACTACGCAAATACTACTGTTTATATATCTGTGACTATCTTGGCGCGACTCGCCATATCGCGAATCGTGCGGCGATAATATAGCGACCGCGCTAAGAAATATTCACTTGGTTTTTTGAAAATTTATCAACTTTTCAAGTCTCGCCACGAGATCACGAATCTATAGCGATCGCGCCGCGACATAGCGACAGTATAGCAACAGCGCCACGAACATTAATCATGAAGCGAATCTTAAAAAAAGATTTTTTTTTAAAATAGGATTAGGCCAAGATCACGGCACGAGTTTAAGAATTCAGCGCGATCGCGATGGGAATACAAGATTTTTTAGCAAGCGCCACGACTAAGCAAGTCTTTTGAAGAAAAGCTTGTTGCAGCAAGAGTCGTGGCGCGACTAAGCATAGTACGTCTGTTGAAATTCGCGATCACAAGAGTCGCGTCGAACTCACCACGACTCTTAAAAATTCCTCTTCTCTCTAGATAAGAATTTCTCAAGATCGCGCCGCGACAACAGGAGTTCATAGCGATCGCTGGCGCGACATCGCGTACGCCCCACGACTAGGACGCGAGGGTCGATCTGGGTAAAGTACAAGTATATAAAGATGTAAACTCTTTGGCATACTCAACAATTTCCTATGCTGCTGTCTCTCTTGCTAATAAATAATGAGTGTACTTGTACATATCATCATCCGTCTAAATGTGTATTTTAATTTCGACTACAGTAGTAATTAAAATACTTCTATAATATAAAAACTTTCTAGTAGAATTTAAAATTCCCCTATAGTAAAGATTAAAATTTCAGTTTCTATTAGCGCAACTTTACATATTTACATACTTACATACTTTAAGAAAAATTTCTTTCGCAGATCGATTAAGTTCTTTTCCACTGTACTTCTCAGTTCTGGATTAATATATGACTGGAATTTGTTGTCAAAATAAAAGTGAGAAAAGCTATACGAAAAATATTTTTTGCTCAAACAACAACCGATGTCTTGTGCACCCGTACGCACCAGTGCTGGTATATTTCTGCTAAAAAGATACTGCACTGGTAAAAATCAGTGACATTAACTCGGCACTTCTCTCTCGCGCTATTTTTTTAAATAATGCAATAACATGAAATGAGAGAAAGTAATGGATTTTGTAGAATGGACTGAGCCTAGAATGGAGTCTCCAAAGTACATTTTAACGCCTGAAAAAGGAAAATGATTTTGTCCCATTTATCCTGATCCACAAGTTCTATTTGAGGCTTTCAGTAAAACTCAATGAAACATAAAGATTTTGAGATCAGGTTTGTTTTATTTTGGTCGGAAATTATTACTCAATAAAAGTTAAGTGATGAGTTTTTGTTTCTCACACGATGGGGAAAAAAATAGTAAAGTTTGACCTTTATTGGCCAATTACCAGCGGAATTCTTGTCACTTTCGTGGAAGATCTTTTATAAGATTCTTATGGGATTTAACAAAATCTTTTTGTGTAGGGACACGTGTGGCTTTTCGGCTTTTGTGTAATTTTTTGACAAACTATGTGGTAATTGAGAGAAGAGGGCGTATAAAAATGTTTAGTGGATTTAGGGATACACTACTTCTCCGTTTGATCACCAAAGTTTTGAAGATGTCAGTGAATAAGTTCATCAACACTTCAAGAAGAGGTTAGCGAGAATGCTATTCTTTATGAGGCGTTCGTTATTTGCCACAAGTCAACTGCAAATAGATTAAAGACTCATATTAGATGCAAATAAAAAACACTATCTATCTCTATTTTTGAGACATCAACAAGTCTTAGTGTATGTATATGGAAGTTTATAATAGTTAATTTAAAGGATACTCTTTTGTTCTTGGTCAGGATTTGACGAATATAAGTAAGATATATTAACCTCCTCTTTCTAAAATAAAACATTATGATGTTCAATTAATAAAAGCAGTACATTTGACAAAAGAATGGAAAGATTAGAGGAATTATGTTTTTGAACACTGTTCCTTCGCAGATAAAGTATATGTGTGTATACAAATTAATGTTTGTAACTCAATACTGATTTCAGTATAAGAAAGATCTTCTGTCGTTACGAGCAAATCGAAAAACGCTTTGATAATAGAAGGTTACTCTTTGGAGCTCGACTTGCTGTACAAAATTCTATGTAAGACGAGGGAGGATAATCGAACTTGTCGATGAAAAGTAACGACGGAAATTATTATATCAATCAGGAAAGATAGAACCATTTCAATAATCTATAAACTGCAAATTCATGTTCTGTATATTTGAATAAAAGCTGAAATGTTACTCTTTGTACTTGAGAACGTAATTACAAACACAATATTCTTTAGGACTATGTTTTATTTGATCTGTCTGGTGTACTTTAGACAAGATATGCAAAAAAATATAAGCATTTCTTTCTTCATTTTACTGATATCTGCTCGACAACCCTTGTCCTGTTGTTGATGAAGATGAATATATCATCTGAATATTCTATTTAGGTTTTACAGATGGCATTGTTATTGTGAATAATAGCATGCCAAATGCGTGATGAAGGTACTGATGATGATAAGCAAGTATTCATTTTGAGTAAAAATGTTTATACTACAATAAATACTGTATAAATAAAATATCATTGCTAATATTCTTCATCACGCATTCATTTCGAATTTTCAGTCTCAAAAAGGCAAAGAAAACAAATCGCCTTACTCTATCGCTTGGCACGATAGATCATCAAATATTCCGAAGACATATCTTTTACTGATGTTCAACTACAATCGGATAATTTACTATGAGAAACGTTTAAGTATTTCGACTGTTTTAAATAATTGTTGTGTTTGCGCATAATCTAATGCCGTTTGTCCAAATTCGTCTTCGATGTGGACATTAAGCGTATTACATTTATCGAGAATATATTTGACTAACCTATGATCAAAAATGGCCCAATGTAAGATAGTTTTACCATGTTTATCTTGACTATTAACATTAATTGATGGCATTACTAACATTTGTCTTACAAATGCGCTTTGTGGCCAATGACGAATGGCAATCATCAATGGTGTTAGTCCATTGGCATCTTTCATATTTATCAATGTTTTAAGCATATCATCCTGCTGTTGGAGTTTAATTAATTTTAAACATTTTTTACTTTTAAATTCGGCTAACCAATGAAAAAAATTTCTTCCAGTTAAGTCTACAATAGTCAGTTGTAAATCGAAATGTTTTAATAATAATTTCAAATGTTGGTATTTATCGGCAATACATGCCAAATGTAATACTGTGAAACCCTCAACTGTTTGACTATTTAAACTAATCTGTGGATGTTTGAGTAAATGTTTTAATATTTCGGTTGTTTTCAGTTTTAATGTTAACATAATGGGCGTACGTTGTTCTATATCTCGAACGTTGACATCAACCTGTTTATCTAACAATTTTTCAACAGCTCTTAACCATCCTAATTCAACACATAGATGTAGCAGCGAACGATCAACATCATCACGAATAAAATTTAACTCTGTTGTATTCAATTTATTAATCAACGATAGAGCAAAATCTGTTTGTTGATTGATCGAACATAATAAATGTTGAATGTAATAATGATTTGTTAACGTCTGATGTGGACTTCCTTCAAATCCCTCAAATTGTTTTTTCTTTTTTTCTACTCTGTTACTTTCATCATCATCTCCTTCGCCCATTCGAACATGAATTGCACTTTGGAAGAAATCATCCGCTCTATCTACTTGCTCATGGCACTGTGTTAAGCTTAGCTTATGCATATTCTGAAAAATAATTAATAGGTCGCTACTTCATTGCCTCGTTTCGCGCCGTAACGACAAATTATGTTAACGTTTCATTAATGACATTACAACGTTTAATCCTGTAATGATAGAACCAAATCGGAGCGTTGACCTGATCCCGATTCGATTCGAACACTTCTCCGTTGAGATCCGATTCTGACTCGAGCTTCGAGCCTAAAATTTTCATTTTTTATACACGAATGTCTTCTGACATAGTTTATTGTTCTTATTTTATGATTTCTATATATAGAAAAAACATTTGTCCATTTTCTCACATTTTTCAATCAGAAATTAGTGAGTACGCACAGTTTTTCGAGTACGATTACAAAGTGCAAAAGAAAAAGATGTTTTACTCCAGTGGCGGGTCCAGCCTGCGAGCGGTACAAGTGGCCGCTCGTACCTTTTTGATATATATATGAAAGAGATGTGCACGGGTACCGTTTTTGTACCCGACTTACGTCTAAAAATTTTCTTCTTTTGTTTTCTAGGTAAAAGCTTTTGTTTTTCAGTTGGATATGTCAAGTTATCATTACGTTCTCAAGTAACTCTTTTATAAAACTTGATGCATTTTAGCTAAAATCTTGTATTTTTTCACTAAAATTTTGTGGTTTTCCACTAAAACCATCCGGTTTTCGAGTAAATTAAAACAAAAACGAAACCCGTATCCGTAACTGCTCTACTCGTACACGACCCAATCTCCGTACCCAATCTTCGGGTCGGGTACGGGTATGGATCGGGTTGCACATTTCTAATGTATGAGCGATCTTGCTTTGCGAAATAACTTCAGAATGTATATTTCTAAAATTTGTTTTCAGATGCAAAGTAATACGCACTCTTACAAAAAAAAGTCAATTTAATACTACCTTGAAAGGCTTGTTTAAAAATCGCTCGTAGTGTTGAAAATTTCTGGATCCACTACTGTTTTACTCGAATAGCACTTAAATATCAGAGACATTTTAAAATAAACAGGAAAAGTAGTTTTCAGTTTTTCGTCTACAACGAATTTTGATCGTGCATACTTCTTTTTCTACTTTTTACTCTGATATTTTTAAAAGAGATCAAATATTTTTTATGAGATTTTTCAAGACATGATTTGAAAATTTGTTAATAATTTTTGAAATTATGTATTGAAATAGTTCTTTTGAGTGCTTTAAAAAAAAAGATGTCAGCACAAGTAAGAGAGAGAGTACTCAAGGTTTTCTTCTCCGTGTACTCCAGTACGAGTGCAGCGTCTTGTTGAAACTATGATCTATTTCTACTATATAATTCTAAATGGTTTCATTGTTAATCAGTGTCGATTTTTTTTATTGTTCTACTTGATCATTAATTTCTACCAGTGCCATTGTCACTAAATAAAGAAAACATGCAATAAAAATATTTCTTGGTTTAGTTTAATCCTTTTTGAAAATTCTATCTTCAACTATCCACTTAAAAATATTTTATGGATGATAAGAAAAATTATTTAAAACTTTTAATATTTGTGAAGACTATGACATCGTTTTACGATAATAGTTTTATTGTTTTTTTTTGGCTATATGGAAATTTGTCGTACATTTTATTTTTTGAAATCTGTCGTTTTTTTCTCTGTCTGTCTGTCTGTCTCTCTCTCTCTTTCTCCCTCTCAATGAAATAGTTTTGTATTTATTTTTGATTATTTATGCTATTAATGATTTTAGTGTATTTGCACTAAAAAACATTGTATTAGTTATACCATTATAAATACAAGACGACGCCATTTTATTTTATCACAACAAAATAGACATTGAGTTTCAAAATCAAAAATAATTACTAAAACAAGAAAGAGTCGTCCTGAGTCAATTTAAACAGAAAATTGTAGAATAGAGTAATGCGATACGTAAATAATAGTTAGATTATAATTGTTTTGGATCATCAAGTATCTGATCTATTTTACTCTATATAAATGACCTATATAATAAATATCATTTAATTTTCGTTAGATATGGATTGTATAATAAAGTCATTCTCAAAGTCATAATAACGAATCCTTCATCATAATGAGATAACTGTTATATACGTCAAAAGAAAAGAAAATGTGGGGGAGAAGGATAAAAGATAGATAGTAGCATTCTTTTCTGTCATACAAAACCAATTGGGGTCTATTATCACTTTGTTGACAGAATGGTACAGAAAATTTTCAAACAGTTTTTTTTTTGTAAAAATTAATTCTCATAATGAAAAACGAATGATCTATCTCATATTTTGTTGGTAAATTAGTCAGAACATATTCTTAAGTTGGTTTTTAATCATTTTTTCTCAACAATATATATATAATTTGAAATTTATAGCCTTGTATTTATAATAGTTTTAAAAAAACGATTATTTTTAATTAAGACACAGAAACAAACTTAAATTTAGAGATAATACTTACAAATAACCGAAGTTATACTCATATTTTTTTCTTATTACGTAAGAATTGCTCGATTAATGACAAAGATAGCTATTTTAGAATGCTAATTAGATGTCATCCTCGAGCAGACAGTTATTTTTTTTCTCTTCTTCTCAAAATTGTATCCCTGTCATTATAAAGAAATGTTGATTGAAATAAGTTTCCTTAAGGACTAACTATTTTGGTGTTTCTATAATATCCACTGTGTATTTGTCTGTGTATATTCTATAAATATATGATACATGGCATTATAAACAGAAAGATGCGCGTGTATGACTGAGACTAATCCAGTTTTAGATTCTACGTTATTGTTGAAAAGAAACGAGAAAGGAACTTTTTTTTTCAAGTCTTTTTTCTGTTGTCTGTTTATCGTATTTAGAAGAAGAAGAAAAAAAAGAAAAAACACTAGAAGAGGAGAGAATTATTGTCATTCATCAAGTCTCTTTATCTCTAATATTTTTCATAATTGAATGTTTTTACTTTCTATATATAAATATATACGCATTATTTGTGTTGTCAGTCAGGCAGTTGTTTAGAAAATTTCTCTACAAAATATTTATGTAATACTCTACGACGACGACAATGATGATGATGATGATGATGATGATGATGATAATGATGATGATGATTATGATTATGATGATGATGATAATAGGAAGTAACTCATTATTCTATATTATATACGTACGTATAACAGAGAAACGTAAAACAGAAGACAGACGATGACGACAGTATATCAAATGTGGTTTTGTAACATGGAGATATGTTAATATCGTTAAATATACTATTATTCTTAATAATTAACTATTTTCATCATCAAAATGGAATTATTTTAACTTAAAAGCTTATCAGATTTATTGATAATGACAAAGTAAGAAACCGTTTGTAGTTAATCTATAATTCAAGTTAATCAACAGGTAATCAATTTGTTTTTCTCCCATACACTGGCATCTATCCAATTTGTTGACGTAAACGAAGAAAAATATAATAATAATAAAACTTAATGAAAAAAAATAATTTGAGAGAATAGATTAAAAGGCATTTTATTGCTTTTAATTGTAAAATGTTAAAATTCTACTTTTGAATATTTGTCCTATGATACGCCCGTTTATCACACCCATCTTTCCTTTTAACAACTTGAATATTGATAACTCTTTACATTATCTCTTGATAACATGTTTATCCATCTTTCGTTTTGATAACATGTGCGTATAAAATGGTGACATCTGTAGTACAATGTTTTTAATGATATTTTTGTCACTTTTTAATTTTATCCTTCTTCAATTTAGATTTTTTTCAAACAAATTTTAACAGTGTCCACATAAAAATTTTATTCAATTTATTGTAAAACATCTAAGACAAATTTATTGCTACACAAAGAAAAGGTCTTCCATTTTCTTGCTGTTAGATAACGTGTGTGTATTATGAGAATCGAAATCACAGATCGAAACATTTTCTGTTTTTTTCTTTCTGATATATAAGTAAAAAAAACAACAACAATAGAAGAACATAGTTCTGATTTCCAGAAGTATTAGTAATAACGTTTCCTTCTTTACTATGTCATTTCAATTATGATGATATAAGATAAAAAGTTCTAGTAGAAAAATTCTCCTCGATAATTTCTTTTTTTTCTTGTCGTTTATGCGCATTTCTATATATATTGTGACATTAATATTCTCCATGTTCTTTTCTGCGTTACGTGCATGTATAAACACAGCACTTCGATGATTGTGCATTTTTTTTTTCCTTCTTACTCGTACGACAAATGTATTTAAGTAAGTTTTAACGAGGATTAAAAAAAAATAACTACAGCAGTAAAATAAAAAAAATGGTGTGATGTCTTAGATCATGATAACAGCATGCTCTTCTAAAAAAAAGTAATATTAAAACTGACATAGATGTATAAAAGGATTTAAGACACACAATAGAGTTTTCTTCTCGTTTTTTTCTACTTTAATTCGCATGATTTAGCGCGCATATATTTGAAATAAAATTCAATGATATTGAGTCTGTTGTGAAAAGCATTCATTTCTATTAATTTCTTTTTTTATTTCTCAATAACATGTGCAATGTGGAGATTGTATAATGCTCGACTACGGAATGCGTCGATTATTCTCACTGCATACAAAAAAAAGAAGAAAAAAGGCAAAGCAAAAAAAAAAAAATTGTTCTTTGTGTTTTGTCTCAATAAAATATCTTTATACTATCGGTCTACTTTCATTTTTTTCTTTTTACATCCAACTTTATTTTTCTTTCTGTTTCTACTCTTTTTTTTGTTTTTTTTTGTTCACATCGTAAGTCATTTTTTTTTTAAAGTAAAAGTTTAACTATATACTACGCAACAAAAAAAAAAAAAAATTTACAAAGTGTCGCCAAGACAGAATTTAATATAATAAAAAAAAAAAAAGAAGTTTTTCCGCTTCGGCTGTGCAATGAGAAAGAAAAGTGTTTCCCGTCAGTATTTACCGTATGTATCGATATCCTATGAGTTTATTCTTCGAGTATTAGTATTATAGAATTTCATGTATGTCATCACTCCATCAATCGTTTTCAACCATAAAAAACAAGAAAT